CCCGCTGCGATGTTCGATCACAAAGTCGTATTCCTGCAGTAGTACAATCCATTCCGCAATTTCTCCTTCCGGATTTTTGAACTGCAATAGCCATTTCAGTGCAGCATGGTCAGTTTGTAAGTTGAATTTCCGCCCTAGAAGATATTTGCTAAAATGCTGCAAGGACTTTACCACAGCAAGCATTTCCCGTCTTGTGACACAATAGTTCCTTTCCGGCTTTGACAATGACTTGCTGAAGTATGCTATCACAATCTCTTGATCACCATTCCGTTGAGACAACACACCGCCAAGTCCTATATCACTTGCGTCTGTGTCAACTATGAATTTCTTGCCCGCATCAGGGTACCCCAAAATAGGTGTTTTGCACAGACGGTTCTTGAGCTCCTGAAATACAATATCGCAACTTTCATCCCAGCAGAAATGTCGCTTCTCCTCGGTTAGCTTGTGCAGAGGTTTGGCTATATCTGCAAAGTTCTTCACAAATCGCTGATAATAAGAGCACAAACCCAAAAATGATCTAACCTGTGTCTTGTCTTTTGGGACCGGCCACTCCTTGACAGCAGCAATTTTCTCTGGATCCGTGCGGATACCTTTTTCCGACACTACATACCTCAAAAAACTAACTTGCCGTTTGAATAGTGAGCACTTCTTTGGACTCAACTTGAGGTTGGCACTCTGGATCTTCATGAGCACGCGTTCCAGGTTTTGAAGGTGTTCCTCAAACGTACGGCTTACGATGATGATGTCATGCAAATAGACCAGACAGGCATCTCCAATTAGCCCGGTAAGTACAAGCTCCATCAACCCATCAAACGTTGCTGGAGCATTGCACAATCCAAACGGCATGACTTTAAATTGCCACAGACCCTTTCCTGTGGAGAATGCAGTTTTCTCCTTGTCCTTAGGGTCAATTTCAACCTGCCAGTAGCCACTTTTCAGGTCCAGCGTACTAAACCACTTTACGCCTGTAAGCATGTCCAGCGTGTCATCAATTCTTAGCAAGGGATAGCTGTCCTTCTTCGTAAAGTCGTTCAGGCAGCGGTAGTCAACACAAAACCGCATGCTGCTGTCTTTCTTCTTTACCAGCACCACAGGTGAACACCATGGACTAAATAAAGGTTCAATAACACCATTCTTCACCATTCTCTCAATCATGGTTTCCACTTCCTTTTCACGTGCTACAGGCAATCTTCTTGGCCGCTGACGAATAGGCAATTCTTGTCCTGTGTTTATTTTGTGTTGAACTAAGCCAGTCTTTCCTATGTCAGCTTCGTTTGACGAGAAAACATTGGCGTATTTGAGTAACAAATTCTTCGCTTTAACCGTTTCATTCGGGGAGAGAACGCTGCGACAGTCTTCTAAAAGTGTGGTCACTCTAGTTTGTCCATCCTTGCTGGGGGTCCCAGTCGATAGATATTGTCACTGACGCAACCAATCCACTTCCTCACTAGTACCAACCAATGTGCCTTTTTCTATAATCTGTTCCTGATCACAAAGGTTCAGCACACGTACTCCTGAGATGTCGGCGGTTCTGACCAAGGTTCGAGCCACTTTCCATGGAAGGTCATTGTCTACCCTTTCCACGAGTACACAACGAAGAGTTTGCCCAGGATTCCGTGGAAGTCTAACCGGCACAATCGTTTCCGATCTCGGCGAAAGAACAATCTTCTTAAGGCTGTACACATTCACTGGTAACGCCCCTTCCACGAAAAGTTTCTCTTGTCCACATTTCAAACACCTTGCTTAACGTCGATCTCACAACAATTCTTCCTCATAAAGTCTAGGCCCAGGATGCAGTTGTCCATTATATCAGCCACGATGACATTATGCAGGTAGATCATGTTGCCTAGCTTCAACTCCATCTCCTTTTCTCCACGAACGGGTATGCTCTGACTGGTGGCTGTCACCAAATTAATGCGTTCTCGGTTGTATGCGGAGCCCCCAAGGAACCGACTTATAAGTTGGGAACTGACAACCGTGCGAGAGGCTCCAGTGTCTATGGTCAGTTTACACGGTGTTCCGTTGACCTCGCCCTTGATGATCAGGCTGTTCCCATCACGGGTTTGTGAGATCGAAATCCTTGGGGCTCTTTTAACATCAGCCAGCACCCGCCAGTTTCCCTGCTGCTGCTGGGCGGTGCTGTTAGCCACACTACCCTCTCGAGATCGATCACCTTCCCTTTCTACAGTTCGCTTAGGGCACCTGGATCGAAGATGGCCCCTTTCCCCACAGCCGTAGCACCTAGGGCTGTAGCCGTTGTTGCGGTCCCGAACTGTAGCTGCAGCAACCTCCCTGACGCGGTGGGAACGATGATCCTGCCGCACGTCTTCCACCTCCAGTGCATGGGTCAAGGCATCCTTAAGCGTCCCGTGGTGCCCGAGTCTCACAGCAGCTCTGACTTCAAAGTCGAGGATGCCATCGATGAATGTCTGCACCAGGTTTCCTACAATGAACGCAGGTATAGACTGGTATGCTTTTCGAACCAGTTTCTCCACCTCAAGGGCCCACTGCTGCAGGTTTTCGTTACTGCGTTGCACGCGATCTTTGAGCTGTGCACGAAAGACGTGTTCCAGGTGAGCGTCGCCATATCTCGCCTCCAATGTCTCAAGGAGCTGCTCGTAAGTGACTTCCTTACCTAGAGCTTCCAGAACAGATAAGGCCTGGTCAAGCAGGCCGAGGGTGAGAGCAGTCATGGCCTGACTTTTATTCCAGCCGTTCGCCTTCATGACAGCCTCGAACTGGATTTTGTAGGCCGACCAGGAAGAAGTCCCATCGAACGGCAGCACTTTGAATCAACGTAGCGAAGGTGTTGTAGCTACCACGGGAGCTGTAATTCCATCCCCAAGTTTGAGGTCGTCCAGCGTTTTCTTCATATCAGCCATCATGTTGTCAACCCGATTGTACACTTGGTCGATTCGGGTTTCAGCTTACGACAGGCGGTTGTCATGTTGAGCAACCCTATCCTTCACCTCCTTTATCTCTTTCCCAAAGGTAGCGTGAAGGTACTTCCTGAGGAGCATCTGTTCTTCCATACCGCGCTGCAGCTGCTCTTCCAACCGACGGGTCTGTTTCTCCTGTCGGCGAGCCTGTTCCTCCTGTCGGCGAGTCTGATCCTGCAGCATCATCATCAGAGCACCTAAGTCAGGTGCTGTAGATGCAGGAGCTGCTGACGGGCCGGCCTCCGTGGTTAGCAGCTGGCCCTCCGACGTTTGCGGCGTTGCATTACCAAATCGTCTCTGGTCCGTCTCCTGTCGGCGTTGACTTCGGGTACGGATACCCTCCGTGTCGTCTTTAGGTAAAATCGGCATATTTGATCCCACTTCTGACACCAATTGTTACGAGCTTGGGAGTATTCTCTTGTATCGCCAATTCAATACTGCCCCGGTCGTGGTCTATAACGGCCTTATATAGGGCCTCAGATAGTTTCCAGAACCTTCTACTGTAGCGATATCTAGAATAATCGAGTACATATCGGTCCCGAAATTTCTGGAAGGATCTCGACTCTCCTAGTTCTGCTACTCGACACTAGAGGGCGCTAGTGTAACTAGTGTTGCCATGTACAAGACATTAATAGTGGCGCGCAACACTTTCTTTTACTCGACACTAGAGGGCGCTAGTGTAACTAGTGTTGCCATGTACAAGACATTAATAGTGGCGCGCAACAAGACCAAATAAAAAAGTGACATCTCAACTTCAAAATTTTAAGATTTTGGCCGTTAGTGCGCCTTTCCGTATAATCACTCTTATCTATGAGTGCGCCAATCGTTATGGTGTGAATAATAATTGGAAAGTGATGAAATATGTGGTAAATATGCAATACTTTGACTATGAACAAATCAGGAGAGATTTTTAATGACCGATAATTTATATATTTTTTATTTATTTTTATTTTGATAATTGAACCTGACCAGCAGCAAACACGTGAAGCGTAACCACAGCCGAGCACTTCGCGTTCATCGGAAATAGTGAGACAAATGTCATTTGAAAGCCTGTCTTCATCATCCTAAAGTACACTGTTGGGATCCAATAGGAGCTCACATTTTATGGAACCCATTGACAAAGTTAGGGGTATATCTATACGAAGACGTTGCGTTGGGTGTTATAAAATCCTATTGATCTTGGAATTCTTCCAAAAATTGCAAGAGCAAAAGCTAAAAGAGTGACAACGCACTGTAATAAATGTAACAAAACTTATTGTCTCCAAGGTTTTTCTGAAATTCTATTTCATAAATAAAGCCATTTTCTTATTGAACATTGTATTTTTATTTTTTTCAACCACCCACATAGAAAAAAAAAGAAATATTTTACGTTTTTTCTTTTTATTAGTGCTCTTTTGACAAGTCCTGACAAACAGAGCAAACTAACTGAGAAGACCATGAAGTTAGAGCTTATAGAAAGAGGCAAGGGCGCGTGTACCGTTTACGGTACACGAACGTGACGAACCCATGCGGCGTGTACTGTATTCGGTGCACTGGATAGCTAACGTGTTAAATTTGTTTTACGTCATTCTATTAGTTTTAATCTAAATAAAATTACACTACGCAGATAATCATATATTACATATTTTTGTAATAGACGGCAGAGTGGACACAGTCCGAGCATTTTTTTTAATAAAAAAAAGTCGTAGTAAGGTTTAGTGTCAGATTCTTAAATGTTAAATGGTTATACCCTTAATGTAAAATTTTGCTTTGACGATATAGTAATATTATTTTTGTATTTTTTACCATTGTTTTATTGAAATATTGATGCGTACTATCTTTTTTTTGAGTTTTTAGCAAAATACGATCTTTTCCAGTTTATGGTATGATCAAGGTACGATCTCCTAAAAAATAAAGTTGGCAACCCTGGTTCTGTGAGTCTGTGGTATTGAAGATTTAAGAAAAGAAAAGAAATCCACGTCCCATGTTTTATATTTAGGGTTTTGTAATAACAAATAAGCATAATATCCACGGTGGTAACGGCAAGATACCTTGTGCTACAATTATTCCTTTCCATTAAAAATGCAAGGCCCAGCAGTTTTCATGGACATATCGCTTGAAGACCAAGTGAGTTCGTTAGTATATAACCTAAAATGTTGTCTGAAATATCAGCTTCATTTTAAATGGTCGCCTAATAATAAAGAAAACTATTAGATTATTACATATTAAAGATATATTTTTAATTCGTAATTGATTGATTGTGCTATAATGAAAAAAAAATACGTTTTATGTGCCTCGACTACTTAGTATTATAAGTTCTTTTTTTAGAATATAATATATAAACATATACAAATATAATAGATAAATACTGCACCCACGGTAAGTGGGAGCTAGCCCATGGACACCTGCACCAAACTTTAAACAATGACAACCACAAATATGTTGATGTTGTCACAAGGGTTAATTTGTTAGAAACATATTTCATCGGATATTGCTATGGGGAAATGCGGCTGATTTCGAAACTATTTTTATTTTGCAGAAGAAGACCATTAGAGTTACTTACAACCTAAAGTCGATAGTCTTTCAGAGCAAAATTTAAAGATATAAATATATTAACTTTGGGCTTTGATATATTCCCAAAAACAGAAGTAATTTTAGTAAAAAAAGTGATATATACTCTGTAAACACTAGTTAAGCTAGTGATACCAGTTTCTTGACTCTACAGTGTCAGTAATTCATTCATGAGGCAATGTGTACACTATCACAACAAATTGCGGAAAATATACTATTACCAAGTTAAAATATTTTATTAAACAAAAACTATTATAAAGGTTTTTAGACTATAAATGAATACATGATGAAATAGGTCGTCCCTTCCAGACTGTTTCTAAAATATATTTTGTTAATTGTTTGTACAACCTTTCTTATTGTATAATTTACATTGGCTTTCTTGCTGGTTCTTCCCAGGACAGATGTTTTGTTCCGAACCAGTGGTAAAAGTAAAAATGACTTTCAATAAGAATTACATGTAATCTATGTTGAAAAAAAAAATTCTATTCTGTTTTAACGGTTAAAGGAAAAAGAAATTGTATCTTCCTTATGCTCCTTCTCATTATGGCTAAAGTTGTTATGATTACCATTAATTATTTACTGAGAAAAGAGTTCTTATTGTGAATTTGATTATGTATATGTCATATTTAATATTTTCAGGCACAAGAACTTAGAAAGTATTTTAAAAGCCTGGGAGCAGAAATTTCAGAGGAAAAATCACCAAAGGGAGTTGAAGATGATTTACATAAAATAGTTGGTGTGTGTGATGTATGTTTTAAAGAAACTAATGAAGCCGACATTGAAGCCATACTCAACAGTATTGTGTCAATAATGGTTTCAGTAAGTTTTTCCTAACTAATTTACAGTAAATTTCTTACTTTCTTTTTTCCTGTTGTGAAATTTTAGTAGGATTGTTTACTTTAATATGAGATACTGTTTTAAAGTGTTGCTTTTTATTCTAACAAACATTATTTCATTCCAGATACCTTTGGAAAGAGGTGAAAATCTTATAGTGGCATTTAGTCAGAGACTTGCAAAAGCTCCAGGACCTAAGCTTGGATTGGTAGCATTGCAATCGTATGTATTTAAATTATATTTCAATAATAGTATCCATACTGTATTTTTTTCAAATAACTATTATTTATATGAAGATTGAAATATTGTGAATAGGATATTCATATTTAGATTCAGAAGTCAAATGGTTAATGGCTGCAAAACTAAAATGGTTAGATTTCTATTTGCCATACACTATTAAATCAGCACTTTAAGTTGCTGGAGTAGTAATAATAATGTCCTCCAGACCGAATTTCGGTCACGGCGGCCAGTTTCAACGGAGACTAGCCATCTGCGCAGGACAGGATTATAGTGCCCAAGTGTTTGCGCAAGCACAGGTGCACTCTCTATTCCCTCACTCTCATAGTCCGATGGGACGGTAAACCGACACGACCGGAGAGAGATCAGGCGCAGGACCAACGGCTTAACGTGCTTTCCGAGGCACGGGGGTGAGACACCGCCAACTCCCTGACTCCGGGCAGCTACTGAGAATTTCTTGATAGAAAAACTCAATAACTAATTTTTTGGCCCGACCCGGGATTCGAACCCGGGACCTCATGATCAGCAGTCGCACTACTACAGCCACTAGACCAACGAGGCAGTGGAGTAGTAGCAGTGTTATCAGCACTGCTATATTAATGTTAAACACTCACACCTGCGGTGCCATAAATCATCAGTGTCATAACAAGTTTTTTTATATGATAAGGGTGACAAGCGAGCACACAGTCTACCTGATGGTAAGTGGATGCTGTGGCCTATAGACATCTACATCTGTACTCATTTGTGAATCAAAATGCAAATGCTTTGTGAGATGAGCCGTGAGGACTAAGATGGAATGCCTCTTTTCCAGTAAAAATATCCTGTGAGAGTATACTATTAATATATCTGTACCATGGTTCTACCACATTTAAAAGAAGTTTTTTATTTGTTTCGATTATTCGACTTTTTTATTAATATATATCTATCCTAATAGTAAGTAACAACTTTTTTTAACTGTTATAAGTAAGTGCAACCAAATATGGTAAAGCACACTGACTTAGCTAAACAAAAAATTTCATGATTTAGGACTAAGATGAAATGTCTTTATTTATATTTGCTCTCTTACTCTTTAAACTGGAAAACAAAAATGGGTACAGTTCTCTTTGGCGGCAGAAATAGGTAAGAAAGTAGTATTAATCTAGATAGATTCATAATTAGAAAAGGGCTTTGTCATATTCAAAGATTTATTATTATTCTATTTGGGGGTACTTGTTTACTTTGTTAATTAATAAAGTAAATTGAAATAGAAATATTCACTTATGACACTTGTCTTTTGTGATGCTACAAAAGCTTAATACATAACAATATTCAACCATTGTGTTTTATTCTATATTCTGAACATATTAGGCTTCTTTTTCTTTTACATAACAAACTAGAGCTGACCCGGCGAACTTCATACCGCCTAACAGCTTTATGGTATGGTATTAAAGTTCAAATTGACTTTTAACTATTATTACAAATCTTTTGTATGGAAATATAGAAAATTATTGATTTTAGACTTGTTCAGGCAATTTTTAAATTTTTCTCTCCGTAAGAACCATCTCTGTACTTCAAGGAATATTATAAAAAAAAGAATTAGCGAAATCCGTTCAGCTGCACTCGAGATTTGCGCTTAGCAATATTCAGCGATTCATTTTTATATTATAAAGATATGACATTTGGTATACTGTTTTAACTTGAAATTAGTTAACAATTTCAAGAAATACTTTTATTTCTTTTTTTTGCTTGTATGGTTTGATTACCATGGATTGTTTAAGAAAAAGTGTTTTTTTTTTTAATTGGGAGGTTAATATATATTGTCCTACATTCTAGCTTTTGGCGGCTGTATAACAATTTGGAGCCCAATTCACCCCTGAGATACCATGTGTATTATCATGTAATAGAGCTAGCTGCTCGTGTGGGTGCAGTAAAAAATGTGTTCACTGGAGTGGAACAACTAAGAAAAGAGTTTGCCAGCTGTCCTCCTTCTAATGAGCAGATGCAGAAATTATATAGATTATTACATCAAGTATTAAAGGATCAAAACAGGTATGTAATATTATATAAATAAATACCAATAAAAAAGTATAACAGTCAACTTGTTATATAGTTTGTAACTTGAGACCTGCACTTCATTTGCATAGTAAACAATTATGGGGCTTTTTTGGTGGTTTGAGGTGGAGCTTTGTGCGCCAACACCATTCTTGCTGACTAGTTGGTGTATTTGCTTCTAAGTTTGTGATTGGTGCAAATACTAGTCACAACTAGAAAGTAGTAGTGTACCATAGTAGAGAATAATATAATTGGTTATTTTATTATTCCTTATGTTATGTTACAAGGCAATGGTATGAGATCTAAATAATTTGTGTCAATTAAAATTTTCTCGCTGTTGGTCTCTCTTGAGGCACCAAAGTCATACTGTAATGTCTTTTGAGAGTTTCTAAATATTCCACAAAGCTCAAAAACCAAAGGAATATTTATAGAGACAACAACAAACTTGAAAACCGAGGGAATATTTTAAGAGAAAATACAAGAGAGATGTCATCATTCAGAGAACTGTGATGGAATAACCTGCCAATACTTCCTACAATAAATTTTTTCATTGATATAATACTGTTGGATTAAAATCTCTATGAAAATTAAGTAATTTTTACAACACCTTTATTAGGTTCTCGTGTATCTATCTATCTGTCTATCTATTTAATGGAATCTTTTAATATAATTTTCACCAATTTATAGACGGCCGATTTACTTGAAAATTTGCATCAATTTGTATCAAGAACCAATGACAATACAATAACTTATAAACTATATAATGCTGATCAGGATCACCAGAATAAAATAAAATAATTTTATCTTTAGCTTGTTTATTTAGTTTTTTTTTTCAAATATAATTTATATTATAAATACAATGTATGTCAAAGATTTGTGAAGTCTGTGTTTGCCAAGTATGACAACTAAGGCAAATCCTCACTACAGTGGCAGAGGCCCATGTCTATCTATGGACTTATACATGCTGATCAAAATGATGATCCATTCGAAAATGACACCTAAATCACAGAAACTGGTGATGAAGGAGAAATATATAAAAGGTGTAGAGAATTCGTTAAATATTGAATCAATTGATACCCACACATTAATTTCTGCAAAACTACAACTTCATATATATATATTTTATAGACGAGGAGGCAAACAAGCATGTGGCTCAACTATTTTATAATATATACATCTTGTTGAAACTGCATTACGAATATAGTTTTAAATTGTTATTACTCATTGAGTTTTTGAGCACTTGTAATATTATTATTATTATTTTTTACTGGCTTTATTTTTCATTTTATCTATCTTTTTGTTACAGTGAGCTAGCTTCAAAGGTGATGATAGAACTGCTTGGCACATACACAGATGAAAATGCTTCATATGCCAGAGAAGATGCCATCAAGTGTATAGTAACTGCACTTGCTGATCCTAACACTTTCTTGTTGGATCCATTGCTGTCATTAAAGCCAGTGCGTTTCCTTGAAGGGGAACTTATATATGATCTACTTACAATCTTTGTTTCTGAAAAACTCTCAAGTTATCAAACTTTTTATGACAATCACAAGGAATTTGTACAGTCTCAAGGTATTATTTTTTATATGTTTATATTGTATATAATATAATTTATTATTTAAGAACTTCACTGGAAATTTTAACTATTGGCATCCTGTTACTTCTCTTAAGTGATTCTTACACAAATACTCATGTATTATTCTTTATCATTATCGTTTTTTTCCGCCTTATAATTAACCGGGAGAAAATAACGCCGTTAGGCATTAAGTTTGCCATATTTAATATAATTTAGAATTGAAGTTTAAGAAATTAATAAGTTAAGAAAGTTGCACATATGTTTATCTGCATTGTTACTATTTTTGCATAATAACTTTACTTTTCAGGCCTTAACCATGAACAAAATGTAAAGAAAATGAGAATATTGTCCTTTATGCAGATGGCTGAATCTAATCCAGAGATAACATTTGATGAAATGCTCTCAGAACTGCAAATTGAAGAAAAGAATGTAGAAGCCTTCATCATTGAAGGTATAAATATTTACACGAGTTTTGGTGAATTTTGGTGGGGCTAAATTTCCTAGATTAATTTATTAGTCAAAAAGCATGTGTTGCAATGTCTTATTTTCTTAGAAACATTCATGCGCATCTAACAATTTACCAAAAGTTATATATAGAAAATGCATGCATGCATATTTAGATATTAGAAAATGCGTATGGGACAAACAAACATTCATTCATCATTTTATATACCTACTAGCTGGCCAGGCAGACGTTGTTCTGCCATTTTTCGACAACCCTTTGTCCTATTAAAAATATTTAAATTCACAATAAATTTTATTGAGTGTTACTTATCCGGATAAAAACTATCCTGTCTCTCAAGTTGGACCAAACTGCATACAGTGTGCAAAATTTCATTGAAACTAGTTCAGTAGTTTAGGAGTTCATGTCGGACAAACAATGTGACACGTTATTTTTATATATAAAGATATGTAGAATAGCATATTATGTATTTTGAACCTGTATGGTATCATTTAATCACTATTGATTTAACCCTAGATTACTAAACTATCCTGCAATTGATGTTGTTACTAAACATTCGTAAAAATACGACATGCAAATAAAACTAAAGTTACGAATTATAAACTAATTATTTTAGAAATTACAGTTACATTCTCGGGTTTATGAGATCGCACAATAATGAAAATAGTACACATTTTTTTTATGTACACAGTTTGGACACATATTCATGCCCTACATATGGCTCTTTTATCATGCAAAAGTAAGTTGTATTTTCTAGCCTTAGACAGGCACAAGGCACATGTTTTTCTAGAATTTGATTCCTGTATAATTGCCAATTTAGAATAGTTTCCATACCTGAGATACGTTTTATGAGCTCTTTGATATCTCGCCGCAATGTTGAATTAGTTTGACTTTCTTAAATAGATTTCCTCATTGGTATATTTGACTACTTCTTAAAGTTTTTAATTTCTAAGAAATAAAGAGGACATTTCACGCGGTTTCAAGACATTACGTGCTTCACCTTGAGGCCCCTCTACAATACGTATGATTTTTCTAGAAGTAGCTCTCGTTCTTAGCTGTCTAGGCTGCGTGATCTATTTATGTCCATTTTTGCCTCGTACAATATTTTTCTTGTTTGGTTAAAATGGGACCCTGGGACCATATTACGTTCTGGGTTGACTACTTTGATCAATTATAATGTGCATAGAATTTTCAGATTGTGAAGAATCAGATTCTATACGCCTGTATCGCTTTCGTAACTAGAAATAGGAACATCAGAAGCAGAACCTTCTACGATACCTGGCGTAATTGTATATTCTTCACTATCACCATCAGTCAGCTGATGTTCTTACACTTCTAAGATGTCTTCTGGCGTACTCAGTATCTCTTGCTGCTTTGCCTTCTCATCGTCATCTTCATCATTAACAACCGCTTCCAACTGACTAATTTAATCATATCCAACAACTCGAGACATATAAAACAATATATTATATTGTATATGTACATAAAAAAACAAAATAAGCCATAATCAACAAAATCTTTGTAAAAATTGTTAAAAACAAGTACACTTACCTTTGTTTAAGAAACACATACACGCAAACACTAAACTTTCGTTAAATCTACGACACACTTGCTATAATTCAACACACAAATCACACTCGAATACTATCACAGCGCGTAGCACAGAGACGGACGTAATTAGGAACGTACACTGAAGCGGGGGACGGAGGAAAGACACGAACTTCGTTTTTTACAGGAATCATGATTTTGCCGTCGTAATTTTTACGATAGTTTAGTAATCTAGGGTTAACAACTAACTAATCGGAGAACAGGATTGGTGCCTTAGCTCCAGTGCTTTATCTTTAATCTATACAAATAAATAAAAATGAAGTGTCTGTTTGTAATGTCAAAATAACAGCTTTTTACTACATGCATATGAAAGTATATACGGTACTTATAACAAAAACACAATTTTTAAAATTTTTGTCTGTCTGTTCCAGCTAATCTCCAAAATAGCTGGACCGATTTTGACGGGACTTTCATAAGTGAATATAGTGCTCATAACGTCACTGCTTGCATTTTTCTCATATACCTAATAAGAGAAACAAAATTAAAATTACGATAGATAAAACACCTGTCAAGCATGGCAATCATACCAAAAATCCCCCTAATGAGGCAATCTACGGAGGCTTATGTTTAGCAGTGGTCTTTTGATAGCCTGTAAGGATAATCGAGGATATAATGTTGTTCATTCATTCATTTGAATGAATGAACAACATTATATCCTTGAGGCCTAGGACTACCACCACCCAAGTGTTGAGTCAAATGTATTTCTTAAGCGTTGCGTCAAATTTATACGAAAAAGAATCTTAAATGCATCTAACATCTAGCTATTGTTTTAACAAATAAGGAATAAAATATAATTATAACTTTTAACAAAAAGTAAAAAACGACTTCAAATTGCTAAAAAAGAAGTAATTTATTTGCTCCCTTGAAGTATAACCTACTTAATAAAAAAGAATCATTAAAATTGGTTCTCAATTTGTGAAGATATCATATGAATTTCTTAAATAGTTAAAATAATAATAAATTTAAATAGTCCAATATGAAACTTTCCCCCTATTTTCCATCATTGAAGGCAGAATTTTTTCTTCAACATTTAATGGGACCACCCTTGAGGTAAAGCCTATTTAATAAAAAAAGAATGATGAGAATCTGTTCACAACATACAAAAAAAAAACACGTCACGAATTTAAAATAAATTAATATACGTGATAAATTGAAAAAAGAATGTTATTGTTATCAGCCCCCAAAAATTAATTGGCATAAGTTGGTTTTTTAAGTTCCTCTTAGAAATAAACTTAGTTCTATGGTTAAGGTACCTTGTGATAGTTTTTAACCGACTTCAAAAAGGAGGAGGTTTTTCAATTCGTCGGAATCTTTTGGAACCTACTTCTTTATCGGACGATACGAATTTGGTAGATGGGGGCTAGGCAAGAAAGTGTAAGATTTTTTTCGTCACGACCCCTTATGACGTAGTGTAGAGGGCCTTATAAGGAAGCGAGATGGAATAATATCCATCTCCCTCGTACTTTTTCTTAATATTACCATGTGTTCTATACAGTGTCGCTCAAGGTGTTATCATATAATTCCGAATTACTAATACATCCAGATAGGCTAAAGAATGAACTCCATTGTAAACTAAATTTTAGAATTTATGGAGTTAAGATGGACTAAATATGCATTAACATTATCTAAAGGTAGAATTGTGAAAGTATCATAAATGATTCCTACCATTTAGTCAGCGAGATAAAAATACATCTAGAAATAGAAAAATTAATAATTTTAAACTAAAGGTAGCTGTGGTTAACTGTGATCATGTGTACTGTAAAGTACTCGAAACGTCGGGAATTTAAAATAAGTTAATATACGCGATAAAATTCCTATAACTTAGTTTCATTTAAACAATAAAAGTTTTTATTATAGTAGTTTGTCGGAAGACAATTGTTGAAACTTAAAAAAGAAGTTGAGAGTTGTAATCTTTTTTGATTTTTTTGATATGTTTAATTCAATAAATGGTTACTTACATGAACAATCAGTATACCTTTTTACACCGTTTTACGTGTTACTCGTGAGCCGCATCAAAGACGCGAATTGTTTGCTACGATGCTCACCAATCTGGTTTGATTGGTTATTTCGGCAAAGAGAATCATCGGTTAAACGATGGAGCCATTTTAAGTAAGAAGAAGAGAAGATTTCGGAAATACTTCCCTTATGTAAGACGAGGCCAATGGATAGCTCCACAGCTGGCCATTGGCCATTGGCTGAGATTATGATCTTCTTATATAATAATAGTAATAATAATATCTTTATTTCGATCAACAAGGATCATATTACATAATTAAGTAATAACAGCCTATAAATTATAATAATAAAGAAAAGTTAAATAAAAATAAATAATTAAGAGAATAAATAAAAATCTTTCAATAAGAACATATTATATTAATTATATAATTTTTATTATTCTTTCGTTCAATTCAATAAGTTAATTTTTTTTAAATATTTTTACAGTGTTAAAGACACGCCTTGTTCGTGCGCGAATGGATCAAGCCCAGAGAACGGTCCGTGTAACGAGCACAATGCACCGAACCTTCGGCCGCGCGCAATGGCAGCAACTCCGTTCAGTGTTGCTCGCTTGGCGCGCCAATGTAAACCAAGTACACGAGTCCATGAAATCTGTTGCGGCTGCACAGTTAGAATACAACGCGCAACAACAGAAAGCCTAAATATAACGATTAAAATATTAACACAAATTTTGTTTTATTACATTACTTGCCATCAATATTTATAACAACTTCCGCATGAAAAAGTTTTTAAAAATGTAAGTTTTTCAATAATTAAGGCAACAATGGCCAGACTTATTGCCTTAATGTCGTTACTATAGTGGACAGAGGGTGTAATAATATTTACTAAAATGCTTATAAAACACGAAACTTAAACTTGGGGAAAATTTAAATAAAACATTTAAATATTTAATTTTTTTGAAGACGATGCTAAAGAAAGACACCCCAAAGTTCTGAAATGGCTATAATAGTATTATTAAGTGGCGAAGCTTGCGAAGTCACTTATTGATTTCACAATGTCTGTCCGTCTGTCCCACGATTATCTCGAGAACGGTTTTGAATTTTCAAATTCTGTTTTCAGCAATCGATTACTGATCACCCAGGCATCTGAACCTCCTATTTTGAAACTGATTGCTCAACGGCAACCGTTAGAAACCGCTACAAAGCTGATTGCTTCGCCACTTTGCTATGCTGTTAGCTTGCTAGGTTTATTATTATTATTAAAAGAAAGAGTTTTTTTTTTAAATAAAATCGAAGTGACAAACGAACTTATTGCAGACCACACAGATATACAAACCTGCAAGCCAACTTTAAAGAAGGCTACAGATGCGTATGTTGATAGGTTTGTGCTACTTTTGGGTATGTAAATCAAAGTATTGTTTTAATTGGTTATGAAGATACCTACTTCAAAGTCAGTACCTAGTGTGCTTTTAATTTTGCCATTTGTTGATATTTTGCAACCCTAGAGTATACATAAGCAAGCTATAGAGCGCGCGTTTGCGAGTATGAAACTTGGATTCAAGGTATGAACAGTAAGTATGGGTATGAACAGTCGAATTAGCAGGAGCGATGCTAACTATTACGAAAGGACACGCGGGCTGATTGTTTCTCCCGTCGGTGTTTACTTGAATTTAAAGTTACCATAGTGAAATGTGCAGTAACAAGTTCTAAAATGATTCACGCAATAATTATATTTCTTTTCATCGGTAAGTAATCTATACTAATATAATAAAGCGGAAGAGTTTGTTTGTTTAAACGTGCTAATCTGTGGAACTACCAGTCCGATTTGAAAAATTCTTTTTGTATATTATAGCCAGACTCATGTGGAATAGCCTATCTAGCATTAAGCTATATCACTCAGCTAACCTTAAATATGGATATTTGTTAAGCAAGTCACAAGAAAAAGCGCTCCCGAAATGATTTATATGCGTACGCTGGTGTTATGGTTAGGGATACGTAAATAAAATGTTTTAGAAAAATATAGATCTTTACTCCATCTAAAAAAAGGTCCGCGATACCATATGTCTATTTCTTATACATAAGCCATAATTAGGTATTTTGTGACAAAAAAAAAATTGAAAATTAAAAAGTGATTTATAAGCGTTATTATTAGGCATGGCCTATTTATCCCTACGAACGAAAGTTACTTCATAATCAAGACAATTTTATGAAGATAAACTTTGTTATACCATGTTATTTGGACGCATAGTTTAAGAGATAATGTAAAATTAAAATAATTCAATACTTGGCTCGGCGCGGAAACGACGTATAAACCCTAGCCGCCCGGTGAGAACTGCGAGAAGCCAGTTTTGAAAGCTTCTATGAGCGAGGTTAGTTCAATCATCATAGCTAAAATAAATTAAACATTAATTGAGTACTTTTATGACAATGATTATTTCTATCTTTATTTCTGAACTCTTTCATTTCACGTTGCTATGGTATTTTAAAAATTATATTGATTAATAAGTATAAGAGTTTGATAGCAAATTTATCAAATCATTCATGATGAAAAGTGTGTCAACATGAATCATTTCATGTTGACACACTTTTCATGTATCGTGTACGGTTTTCTTTAAAACTGTAAAAAACCGCGCTTCGGGACACTTTCTGGGACGTGAGGGGGAGGGGGGGGGGGGCGCTCAACCGGGAAGGGGGGGGGGCGCTCAACCGGGAAGGGGAGGGAAAGTGGATAAAACTTAACTTCGCTCTACATCATACATACTATGCTGACAGATAAAAGTACTCCATTAATTATGCCAATTTTTCCATACATTTCTATCAAATAAAATATTTAATTGCAATTATAAAATGCTTGAACTACGTGTCATGTCATGTCGCGCACCTCGGACACGTGACGACGCGGGTGAAACCGCGGGGCACAGCTAGTAATTTGATAACAACTGTTTTTAATAATATTAATCAAGGTGGCAAAGGCTGTTGCGAGAGGCCGTGCACCATGCTCCCGCACCATCCATTTATTTGCCGTTTTGCTTTCCTGGAATTAGAGCTAGTGCTGTACCACGTTGTACACGAATATTTTGTAATCACTTTATTTATTTTGTAATAATAATATGGGTAAATAGATTTAAATATATAGGTATACTAACTACTTAAATGTCTTTGAATATGGGTAATCATAGAAAGAAATTAAGATTCTTTGTATTACTAACCCATATAGATCAAAGTTGAAAATAAAACTTTTGAATAGGTTTGTTATATAGGTACTTATTAAAGTTAAATACAGTTAATCTATCCTATCATCATTATTTTAAAATGTACATAATAATTGTATCTATGACATAATTAGATTTCCGACATGTTCAACTTTTTGTACTAATGTTTGGTTTATGTTGCATTCGCATTTCATACAGTTATTTTTTTTAGGTACTTACTTTAATTCATTTTCAAAAATATTGTTCTTCGTATGCCCACAGGGTAGGACATAAGTAGTTGAACTTGATTATATAATTATGTATCTGAAATCTGTGTAATACCTATGATTCATGAAATAAATGATTCTGATTCTGATTAAATACTTATCTAATTTTAGATTTCCATAAAGTCGTAGATTAGCAATAAAGAGGCCCAACTGGGAGCCCAACATCAGAAATTTCATTAGTTCCATCCATTTTCGAAACCTAGGGAGGGCTGCGTAAGCTATTTAAATTCGAAATAAGATTACCTACATTAATCTTTAAGCCGAACGTCCACCGCAAACTAAACTAACTTAGTTTAAGTTAGCGGCCCACATAGCTGAGCCAGCATACATGTGCGTCCACCGCAAACTATGCCAGCTTAGCTAGGTAAAATAACCGAACTAAGCCAAACTAACTTAGTTGTGTAGGCCGATCCGAAACTAAGCGAACTAAACTATGCGCCTCTCACCCCTTACCTTACCCCTCTGGCGCTTTTCGCTTAGTAACTTAGTATTGCTTATTTTGTTTAGTTTGTGACTAAGCGCAGGCAGTGAAACACATATTTTGCAGCATGGAGCTCTTTATTGAATACGTCAAACATATTCTATATTGTATAGTTAGGAGATAAAAAACTAGTTGCGTTTTTACTTTATGAAATGAGCAGTAATCAATCTTCTCTTCCTATGACGAATGTAATCCTCCTGTGAACTTTCGTTATAGCTCTTCACTTGTTCTTCCATCAATTTTTTTTTATAGGATAAGGGTGACAAACGAGCACACAGTCCACCCGATGGTAAGTGGCTGCTGCGGCCCATAGACATCCACATCCATCCTCCATTACAAATCAAAATGTAGATGCGTTGTCACCCGTGAGGACTAAGATGGAATGCCCCATTTCCAGCAAAAAGGGCCTTCGGCCACCCGCACTCACCAAGCGAAACGCAGAGGTAAACCCCTACTTCACGCTGGTTTTCTGTGAGGTCGTGGTACCACCCCGGTTCGAGCCGGCCCATCCGTGCGACAGCAAAAGCTGCCGCGTGGCTCTACCACTGTTAATAATAATCAATTCCGATTAACTCAACATACCAGCACAAACTGGTCATCACTAACATAGTTTTAGCTTATTATACGTTTAGCTTATTATTATATGTGGTAGAGCCATGCTGCAGCTATATTTCTGGTATAGTTGTAACACGAATGGGTCGGCTCGACCGGGGAAGGACCATGCTCTCACAGAATACCAGCGTAAAATAGCTGCTGTGTTTCGTATGGTGAGTGTAGAGAACCGGAGATCCTTTTTACTGGTAACGAGGGATTCAATCTTAGTCCTCACGGGTGACAACGCATCTGCATTTTGATTCTTTATTGACGATAGATGTAGATGTTTATGGGCCACAGCAACCACTTACCATCAGGTGGACTGTGTGCTCGTTTGTCACCCTTATCCTATAAAAAAAGCTTATTTTTCGGTGGACGTGTAATGATTTTCCAGGTTAGCTTAGCTTAGCTTAGTTTACTGAGCCTAGCTTTCACATAATTTAGTTCGCGTTGGACGTTCGGCTTAAAAAATAGCTTCGGGAGTTATTTATGTAGGTACACCATACACATGTAATTACATTGGCTCCGATTTTTTTTCAAAATTAAGCATAAGCTTAGGCATGCCAGTATATTTGACCTTTACCTATGATATGGCCGTTTTTATGATATAAGTGAACATATTTTTTTTTCAATATTTTTTTATTTCTATTAATCAAGGTAATCAGCCATGCAATCGATGTATCTTTGCTAACGTAGTGGCAGTTTATTGATCTCCTTCTTAGACGGACTTGGGACGGCACCAAATTCTTCAACGGCATTTTGTACTGCATATCGGGTATAGAATTTTATTCCCGCCAAAAAGTCATCCAAATTCTGGTAAAAGTAGAAGTTGTAGACGCAAGGTCTAATGTATACGGCGGATAACGGAGAGCTTCAAACCCCAGTTCTTGTAACTTGGAGATCATCTGTTGTGCAGTATGAGTGCAGTGTGACGAGCAATTGACCAAAGCTGTTTGGAGACGGGCGAGTTTTTCCATCATTGTGTTCAGTTCTTCACAGTTCACATCTGCAGTAATGCTCATCCCGTTTGGTAAGAAGCTGTGATGAATCACACCGGCGCTAGACCACCAAACAGTGACCATCACTTTTCTAGGGGTAAGTTTTTGTTTAGGTCATTGTTTAGGTATTGAACCAGGATCCAAACAACTT